TGTGTGTGTGTGTGTGTGACAACAGTCCACACGCTCTATGTATGGTCTCCTCCAATGGTCCCTCTGACCAGATAGTACTTCTAAGCTCCAAGCTTTTGCTTGGCATAGATTTTTAATTTCCTCTAAATATTTACAATTAGTTGTGGGGATTTGAGTTTTTGGCTTTTTTGTGAGAGTCTTTTGTTTATTGCTGTTTTTATTTTCCCTTTTTGGTTATTATGTCAGCTTATTCTGTGTGTTCTTCCATTCCTTTATGTTTCCCCTGTGCAATCAGTCAGCTTTAACCCCTCGGTGTTTTCTCTACCTGTCCTCTGTCTCACCTGTCACAGCTGCAGCCACTTCCATCATTAGCCTAGTCCATATAGTGGCTCGATCCTCGTTCCCTCAGTGCAGCCTAATGTAACAGAGCACTTTGCTCTCAGACTGCAGGTTTACTTGTGGTTCCTAGAATTTCCAACAGCTTTCAGTTATCAGGCTCCTCTCTTGTGGAACTAACTTCCAGTTTCTGTCTGAGGCTGATACATTTTCCAGTTTTAGGACTGGGTTTAAGACTTTCCTTTTGATAAATCCTATAGTTAAGTTCAGCTTGGGTTTCCGGAGCTATCCCTTAGTTATGCTGCTATAGGCTTAGACTGCTTGAGGACAGACTGACCACAATTCTTCACTCTACGGCTGTTTTACTTGCTTTACTCTACCTGTTTGTATTTCTAATTATTTCTATCCTTGACATGTTTTTTGTGTTTCTTCCAATAAGAGATGCACCTACCGTATTTTCTGCTGTACACGTCGCTCCGCCCTATAAGTTGCATCAGCCCAAATGTCTAATAAATTGGAAAAATCCATAAATACGTCACTTCGCCATATACTTTCTATTATGCGTCACAGCTGACGCGTCGTGTTTGTTACGCGTCACTGCTGACAACCCGGAAATCTGAGCCGGTGTTGTGGCAAAAATCGATTGGCTGCCAAATGGCGGCCGCAGGGGTGTGCACGACAGGACTTTAACAAGAAATGAACAAGATTAACACCTAAAAACAATTACTTGTTTGCTCAAAATTATATCAAAGAGGTGTATCAGTCTAACTTTTCCTTAAATGTACTTTGACGGTCAAATCAGCTGCATTTTCAAAAGCCGATATGAGGAAACATTTCATTTCATTTCTTTATTTCTATAGCGCTTTACACAACCACGGTGATGTGACCACAGCGCTTAACAAAAACAGTAATTAAAATGACAACAAGTTAAAAGCAAGAAAAACACACAAAATAACAAAAAGATAACCAGAAATGTCACCACATATTCAAGTACTAAAAGCCTGTTGGAATAAAAAACTCTTAAGCTCGACTTAAAAGGGCCAAGTTCAGTAATCTGACATAGATCAAGTGGAAGCTTATTCCAGAGTCGAGGTGCGGCCGCAGAAAAGGCACGGTCACCCCAGAGTTTATATTTTGTCCTTGGAACAGAGAGCAGGAGCTGTCTGACCTCAGAGACCTGGAGCGGGCAGGAAAACTTAACAACTGTTATATAAGGAGGAGCGAGGCCATTCAGAGCTTTAAAAACAAATAATAAAAGTTTTAAATCTATTAAACTCAATTTATAGAATAATTTCATTACTGACCTTTGCACTGGATAAAATAACCAGCATTTAATTTTACATTAAGCATGTTTATTTGAATAGCAAAAATATAACTTAACTGATCATTTAATAAAGGGCCCTATAAAAGGTCCTAAAAGTATTTAATTCAACTCTGATATGTGCATATCCCTTTAAATCTAACTCAGTCACTGTGTTTGTGTTTTTCAGAAACATTGATCTCTGAGGTGGAGAACATGATGGACTGTAAATATGACACGTGCTCAGGAGCCATGAATGTGGATCCAGCCAGTGATTCTCCACCAACCAAATGCCCTGGTCTTCTGTCCTGTTGCTGTCACAGTTCAGTCCAGGATTCAAGTATTGTAACACAGAAAAACAAATACTTTGATGCCATCCGTGACTCTGATACGGACAATGCACTTGTCTTCAGGGCACAAAACCATGCCAGATTTTCACAACTCCACAATTTTGCATTGGAGGTAATGTCAGTCCCTGCCTCCTCTGCACCAGTGGAAAGGGTTTTCAGTCGAGGAAGTATTTAAATGAGACCCCATCGTGCACCTTTAGGCCACAGTATGTTGCAATCTGTCATGTTTCTAAAATGCAATGAAACCTTTCTTTATGTAACTTTTTAAGTGTATATCTACTACTTTATTGAAACCACTGTGCAACCATATGGTTATCCTTGGTCTTGAGTTTGGACTTATGAAGAGTGTTTCACCACTTCAGTTTTTTAAAACTTGGCATGTGATGAAACTGCTTCCAATTTAACAGTTGTGTCATTTTATTGTTGAATCACATGAAGTTAGGACACTGAATGTCTGATTTCTTTGTTATGTAGCTTTGAAATTTTATACAAGCGGATATATTCATTCAAAAGCAAACAGAGTTGCAGCATGTAACTTTTATAAAAAATATTTTTAAT